CAATGGGAGTCTTCGGGGAGGCTGACCCTTGCGGACGGACACGCAAGGGTGCCGCACGACTTAGGCAAAACCAGCTAAGTCCGTGTCAGGCTGGTGTATATTTATCATGTGAGAATTACATATAACTTTGGAAGAGGTTGGTTTAACAGAAAATTTTGACAATTAATATATATACTTTACATATAATAAAAAGAATCCAGATGCAATTTAATTTGAAAAAATCAACAAGAAAAACATAGATATTTATGCTGAATTTAATAATGTAAAAGAAGCTTACTGTAAGTTGATCAACTGGCATCTGGAAAATTATTGAAATCTATTATTCGTAAGAATTCTGCAAAGATGTACACTTCTCTCTCCTTTTGTCTTTTATCTTTTTCTCAACTTTCTTAATGATACAATTGGTTGCTTTCTGATAAAATCAACAAAAAAAATCTTGCTATAGGAATAGTAGAAATGACATGATGAGTTTTAAAGTGAAAAGGAATATAAGTAGTAACAAAATGTACTAATGAAATCAACAATATGAACAATTGAGCAGTTAACTAATGTGTGAAACATGTAGATAGGATCTATGGAGTCTTAAAAACCAATATTCCTAAGAGCTCTGCCAAGAAGCAGACACTTCTATTCCTCTCTCGCTTTCCTCTTTTATCTTTTTTTCAACTTTCCTAAGGATGCAGCTGGCAGCTTTTCTGGTTTTGCCTTGGACAAAAATTTAAAAAAGAAAAGAATTGCCATAGGAATAGTGTAGAAATGGCATGATGGGTTTTAAAGTCAAAAGGAATATAAGTTGTAATAAAAATTGCCTAATGCAATCAGCAATATGAACGATTGAGCAGTAAACTAATGTGTGAAACATGTAAATAGGAAGATTAATAATTATGCACTATGGAGTTGAAGGAATCATTGATATTCAGTTACACATTTTTTCTGGAAATGGAGTCACTCCTTGGACATCATTGATGGTGATCAATAATGAGACTCTTTTGTTGGTGATTGTTTTGCTTATAAGCTGATTAAAACTGTGTATATACTGTGTATATACTGTGTATATTGACTGATTAAAACTGTGTATATACTGTGTATATTGACTTTGCCTCAGACCCATTGTTGACGGTACCTTACGCACTGAGCTGCTGTTTTTTCCTTGAATTTTGAACCATAAAGAATGACCACAAAAGTAGTTTTTTTTTTCCTCTTTTTGAAATGTTTGGAGAGAAGAACTATGTCTTACACATGTTTGTTCTGTTTAGTTCTTTCCATCATATAGATTAAATAGAACTGAAATTGAATTTATGAAATATAACTTAAACAATGCCTAGGATGTAATACAGACAAGCTCCTAGAAATAGAAGTGATAAATACTATGGATCTATTATTCGGTGATTAGGGGAATTTAATCAAGACTGATTAAAATAGATAGGGACATCAAGAGTTCTATATGATTGTTGCATATAACACAATGGTGAAGTTTTCATGCTTAATGGACTATAGTGTTTGGCAGATGGGAAACAACACATACAAAAAGCGTCTCTGAGATGACGATATTGAGTTGTGTGATAGACTAATATCTTTGTATTCGTAAACAATTAGATATTATTTTAATAAATGATAGGATGAGGAAAAACCAACTAGGATGGTATGGGCATGTCCAAAAGAGATGTCTGAATTAGCAAGGTCAGTTGATTAATGTTAGTGCCTTAGTGGTGTAAGGAGATGTTGTGAGAGACCTAAGAAAACAATAAAAGGAGATAAGATAGCTTCGTGGTTTGATTAATAATATTGCCCTATACAAAGCTTTATGACAGAAAAAGATCCATATAACCAAATCCTAAATAGTTGAAAGTTGAGACATTACATGCTATTTTTGTTATTATAATGTTCCATTTAGAAGTATTCAGTAAGAATACATATAGAGCAAAAGCTGACTACAGTGGGAAGACAAGTGAATTTTTAGTCTTATCATTGCACTAGCAATCAAGACACCTTCTCTCAATATGAGATGCATTAATTCATTGGGGAGGCTATGTTGAGGTCACATATATCATGCTAATTTACTGATATTTTTTATTTATATTAAGCTAGCTGTCCTGTATGGCCTAGTAAAGCATCATTTTCGTAGATGGATATTTTCTTCTGGCTTTCCCTTTGTACATCACATTAATGGTTGATCTTCTTTTTGTTTTCCATTTTGTATGTTGTCATACTTGTATGCAGTTTTCCACTAGCTGGGAAATACTTCTTTTATATTGATAGGTAGGAACCTTATTTATGACACTGATCCTTCTTGAATATGTAATGATACTGGTGATGCTTTTTTGTTGTTTTATCAGGATAGAATTAAGAGATGAGCAGAGATTAGAGAACCGAAGAGCATTTGCAAACATTTGGTCAGACTTGGTGTATGGCATTACACTGTTTGTTCTTATCTACTTTAATAAGAGCAAAGTGAGTATGCGACCTAGTTAGTCACTAATTAAGGGCTATTTACCATGGAGACTTCACAATGATTTTCTTGATAGTGTATTTGGTTGAAGGGTTTATTTTCTGTAAGTTTATGATAAAATCATGTCATTGTATTTGTGAATCCTCTGAAGTGATTGAAGTGCCTTTAACTACCATAAAAGAGTTGATCTTGTATAATTATATACCTTGACCTATGATATAGTTAATAGCTATTTGATGACTAGGAACAACCACCATTTGGCTATATCATGTGCTAATATAGTCGTAATATCAAGGATTAGGCTTAGGGAAGAAATTAAAGTGACTAGTGTATGCTACTGGTTTGTATCCAACAGAGGTTTAATGAAAGAGCAAAGTGAAGAAGGAAAGAAAACATATTGACAGAAATAACTGGTAGAGACGAATAGGGATGTCAGGCCACTTCACAACGAAAAACAGTAAAAACAAAAGAGAACAAACACCTTCCATTTACCCAAATTCATCATTCGAAATTACTACTCTTTTATTCTCAGCCATCTAAGCATATATTTTTATATATACAGAAATGCTTGAATCAATCTAGGATCCACAGAAGAGTTCAAAGTAGTAATAATGCGAATCATGTATGGTTTTTGTTGCATATTAATCTAGTTAACTTATGGAAAGAACATTGTGACAATCTGACATAATTTTTATGCATGCCTACAGTCTTACCTGAAGAAATCAGTATCAAATACAATCAAGTAAAACAATCTGACATGGGAATTTTAAATTTGCAAATTAATCTCAGTCTAGAAGTTCCAGAACAAAGAAATATACAGCTAATATTGCTTTTTCATATAAATATCCCTACATAATATCAGTATGAGCTATTGATTGATGTCTAAAATGAGGACTATAGCTATGCTAAAGTAGATTTCAACAAATTATACATAACTAGCTTATCACATAACTAGATTATCTCAAATACTCCAATGGATTAGACCTAGATCTAATTGAACACATCTTGTCTCATGTTGATGTATTCCATTGCTAACTATTATAAATTGAGATATTTGATAAATATGGAAAATCATAATGAAATATTTTGATGATGTAATTTTCCTTTATTTCCAAGTCACTGGGAAGTCAGAGTTGATAGTTGAGATGATTAAGAAGATGAAGATGTAAAATATGTCTTGCAGTTGGATGGCTCTTTATTGTTGGAGTAACGAAGAACTAACTGAAAATTATTGTATATTACTTTAACATTAAAAAGCTATGATACATTTTAGAATATTATTGATAAGGAATAGAATCATGCATGTTGTAATGTTTATAATACAATATTCATATGTAGTATGCTAACTTTGAACTTGAAGTGTTTAAAATAACACTTACCCAGGGATTGTTTCACGACCTTGTATCACTACAACTTATGTCATGACCCGGGCTTGATAAGCTAATTGGCTTATCAATTTTGTTTAATCTAAATCATTAATCAAAATGCTTAAGTTAAAGTTGATAGTATTACACTCAGTGATTTAAGAAACGCTAGGCGCCAAAGGGCGCCAACGTCCAAAAATGCTCGAGGCGCTAGGCGCTCGCCCAGGCTCGCCCTAGCGAAGCGAGGCGCTAAAATATAAAAATATATAATATAATTAATAAATATAATTATTTAAAATTTTAAATTAAAATATGCTATTAAATTAAGAAAATCTATTAACAGTATTAAAAATTAATAATTTTAAATAAACCTAACAATATTAACAGTATACAGTATACTGTTAACAGAAGGAGAAGAAGGAAGTGTAAGGGGGTGCTGAGCCTGCTGACTGAGAAAAGAGGAAGCGGCAGCAGCAGCGGAGTGTAAGGAGGGCGGCAGCGGCGAGCAGCGGGAGGCGCGAGCGACGACAGCGGCGAGCAGCGGGATTGGGATCGGGAGCGGCAACGAGGGTTAGGGTTTGGTTGTCACTGATATCGATTTTAGTTGGTTCGATTGAACCAACTAACCACCGGAGACCGAACCAGGACCGAACCAAACCTAAAATCATAATTCGGTCGCTTTGGTTAACCCAGGCGCTCGCCCGAAGCGCCCAGCGCCTGGGCTCGGGCGAGCGCCTCTTTGAAGCGCGCCACCTGGAAGATTAGCGAGGCGCTCGGGCCTCGCCTCGCTTCGCCCGAGCGCCTTTTTAAATCGCTGATTACACTCATCAAATCTTTATAAGTCAATCTTAGTTTTGCCCACTTTCGATGTGGGACTAATCGGGTGTTATAATTTTTTTCACTTAAGGGCTTAACGCCATCGTCAAAATACTTAAGTTAAAGTGGATAATATTACACTCATCAGACCTTTATAAGCCAATCTTAGTCTTGCCTACTTTCGATGTGGGACTAATCGGGTGTTACAATTTTTCTCATTTAAGTGCTTATCAAATCCTAGCATGTGTATTTGAGACATAACCTAGTGGTGGCATTATGTCGTGACGAGTCACTCAATCCACGGGTAGCCCTTTTCTACTCGAGCCCTCTCACCATACCCAATTACTAGGTCAGCTCTGATACCAAATGTCATGACCTAGGCTTGATAGGCTAATTGGCTCATCAACTTTGTTTGGCCTAAACCACTGGTCAAAATGTTTAAGCTAAAATTGATAATAATATACTTATCATATTCTTTAAGCTTGTCCACTTTCGATGTTGGACTAATCGGGGTGTTATAACTTATAATGAATGCAGCTATTTATTTGAAAGAAAGTCATCAGGTTTATGTTCGTATATGACAGTGAATTGATACGTTATTCTAGAAGGTGGATCTTGCTACTGCGGTGACGTTGCTCTTTTGCAGTTTAGGTGACCGTTGCTGAAGTTGCAGAAATGATATCTCTGCCCTCAAGGGTAAAGCTATATACATTGACCCTCCCTAGACCTTACATTGGCAGGAGCCTTGTAAACTGGGCTGATATTTTAATACTAGAGAGTTTGTTCAATGCGAGCCTATTTGTTGTATCTAGATAGAGGATTTATCTGTTAGCAAGATGTTTTTTGTGGTCTTGCTAAGAGGAAGTTTTCTCAATGTATCGGACCTTTTTTAGAAGATAAGTGGATCTTTGACTGAATCTGACGATGGTTGATACTTGATAGTAAACATCCTTTAGAACATCAATCTCAAAATCTTTTTTTGGTATGCTTAATAATTTTGGCTCAATTTAATACCATCCGCAAACATCACTCCAATTGTGTGTTTGTGATTTTATATGTATCCTGCATAGGTGCTCAATAATGGTGACCTTCGTCATTGAAGCCATCTCTGTGTCTAACTAAATTACATAGGACTTTATTTTCCATGTAATGAAGAGGAACTAATACCAAACTATTGGGGAGGTTGTGGTGAAGGAAGAAGGCAAGTCCATTAATTAATTGTTTAATCTTAGTGCAGCTTTGATTTTCGTAAGATTCACAGTTGGAGAACTCATCTGGATGACTGAATTATTTGAAGTTCATCAATATGGTTTCACAGTGAACAGCAAAAATGTTGACATCACATACTAGTCAAAAGCCTCATATGATATGGAAATAATTCTTATATAGATAAGATAATGCTCCATAATCATTATACCCACATAGAAAAGCAGAGCAGCATAATATGCTTCTCATTTATCCTGAAAATAAATAAAATTGATATTTATTAAGATGATCACCTTCCAGATATATCATCTTGGTCTGAATATATAAATATCTTGAGTTGTACAATACCACATTACCACAGTTTTTTTAGGTAAATTTACATAATGCTCAAATGGGCTCAAGTTATTTATTTCTAGATTCTTGGTGTTTTGCTGCATTACTATCACTTTATGTTTGTACTTCTATTGTCAATTAATTATCATGGATAAATGTTTTCATGTCATATCTCAGTAGGCTTCATTCTCCTTTTTGGTTGCGCACTTCACTTGTGTATGTTTCTGTGGAAATTATTAACAGGTTTCTTATGTTAGCTGTTTGTCTCTGTATTCAGGTTGCTTTGCTGAAGGTTACAGGATACAAGTTACTAAATAATATTTCAGACACTGGGAAGGCATTCCTTATTATTTTAATCACAGATATTTTTTTGGGGTAAGATATTAGAATTTACGTACTTATTTTCTCCATTTCCTTAACAATGGAAAGATACAGGGTGCTTATTTTCAACTGATCTAACTAAACATAATGGTGTCAAAGTGAGATTTGTGATGAATCCCGTCTGTTGAGCTCCTTAGTTGACAACTTGACATAACACCATATTTGGTTGGTTTGTATAAAGCCGTACATCTCGACTTGTTTTGATATATACCAAGATTGTTGATATGACCAAGGGTCCTATCTATGTAACGATCACTAGTTCCTAGAGACCAACATCACTTTATTTAGGATATTACAATTCTTGAATTGCATAGATGAACAGTTTGATAATGATTTATATGCACAAAATTCCATGTGCAAACCATTATTGTTATGATAAGAATGATATATATATATATATATATATATATATATATATATATATATATATATATATATATATATCCAGTGTCTCAAATTTTTTATACTCAAATGCAGGTACCATTCTGAGTCTGGTTGGCAGGTTTTGGTTGAGATTATTCTTGATCATTATGGACTTGATGTTGACGAAGCTGCAATAACCATCTTTATTTGCTCATTTCCAGTCATGATCGATGCCTGTGTGAAGCTATGGGTACGTCTTATGAGTAGCTTTTGCAAACTTTCTCTTCCAAAGAATATATCTCTCTTGGTACATGCAAATATATGTACCAAGTCAGATACTTATTGAAATGTCTACTTCTTGGAAATATTCAATTTTCTAACTGGATAGTTTATGGAGTTATTTTGCTGTGTGGATATTGACAAGAATTAAATACCCTTATTTTAATAATTCATACTATTGGAATGCTGATACTTTGAGCTTTTGATGTCATCATATGCAGTAGAAAATGGTCACCAAATTGTTTCTTCAGCCATTTATTGCAATTTGATAAACATGTTTGTTTAAGTTTGCTTTATGATTATTTAAACCATAGTTTAAAATTTCGGTATCGGTAACCATACCAATCTCTGGTTGGACCAGTATGGATCTAGTATGTATTGGCATACCAACACACGATTTGGGACATGACTGCACACCATTTTTGGCACTGAGATGGGGGAAGAGGAAGAGGAGGAGGAGGAGGAGGAGAAGGAGAAAAGGAGGGTGAGGGAGAAAGAGGATCAGAGGACTAAGAGGAAGAGGAGGAGAAGTATGAGGGTGAGGGAGAAAGAGGATCACATAATATAGAGTTTTTTGAAGAATCTATTTCCCATCATAAATTTAAAATGATTCATTTGGTAGCTCACCGTCTGAAGGCTCCGTGACAATTTGTTTTTATACTCTTAAATAGAGTAGTTTTTATCTATTTGGTCCCAGTTTGGACTTTCAGGATTGACACTCTTACTGTCTTGTCCACTCTGCAGCTATTCAAATTCCTTCCGAGGTTGTCTCCGAATGTGTATAATATCTTCCGTGAAATGCAGCGTCATTAGTGGTGTGCAACCTAATTCTCACTTATCAAGAAGGTAAAATAACACATTATTTGTTTAGAAAATACTGCTGCTTAAATTTCTGAAGAATGAAAAAATATGGAAAGACTGTATGTTTGACATTACTTCTACTTTTTTATGCTAGATAACTCCCAAATCCATATATAGAAAACATGTTTGGTAGCTTCCTCTTACTTGCATTGCTTTCTAAAAAAAAATTTCTGCTTTTCACATCCCATGGCTGTCTATGGCCCCTGCTAGACACCTGGTTTTAGAAGTCTCATCACAAGAACCACTTCCACCAGTTTTTCCCTCCTTTTGATTTTCCAATTGTAAAATCTGTGACATTATTTCTACTTTCTGAAGGGATTCTACTAGCTTTTTCAAGGTACCAAAAGCAGAAATAATTTCATACTGTGGCTAAACTTTTCGACCAACAAGTATATACGTCACCCTTAAATTTGTGAACCACAATTTTGCTGGTTCCTTAAATCAATTTGTAGTCAAGAGTTTCATATTTCTTTGTCCTTTGGCATATGTCAGTTGTGACCTAGAGCATTGCATTAGATACAGACTCAAATTGTGATTGAATGCTTATTAAATATCTGATTTGGCAAAGAGACAAAAGATAAATGTACAGAATTATTTGGGGAAGAATGAAATTTAGAAATTTGCATGAGACAAAAGATACCCAGGATGCTTAATAATTTTGTGGGGATGGATGTGAGGGTACAACACTACCATTCAAGAGCATTTTTCAATCATTAGCTGGCTAATCATCAAACTAAGACCTTTAACACCCAAGTACTTAAAGTTGGGACAAGGACTTGCTCTTCATGGTGACTATAAAGAGTGATGTCTTAGTTCGTCGGGCTTGTCTCGATTGTGTCACTACTAGGTTCTCGGATTGCATTGATCTCGAAAACACTGAAGAAAATGCTTTTGCATGTTGGATCGTGTGTGCAGGTTGCTTCGGCACAGGACGGGCTGGATTGAAATTTAAAGTTGGGACTCAAAAGAGGGATTTCATTTCTGCTTACCGGATACTTTTACAAGTTCATCAAAGCCCTTCTAGGCATTTCCTCTTGGTAATAACATTCACTGCATCGACAACCTTTTTTTTGACAAATAGATCACAATTTTTTGCCCCACAATTAACAGTTGGGTCAGAAGTGGATTGTTTTCCTATAGTATATGTGAACTAAAATGTACAAGATTCCCCACTACTTTTGGCCTGAAGTAGAAGTATTCTCTTGATCTGACGTATATGATGCCTGATGTCCTCCACTGATGCCCATCCGTGAAAGGTTTGTGCTCAGGTATCAACGAGGCACTTGTTTTACTATCTCCCTGCATGAAGTATTGCATCAACACATACTTTCTTCTTTCGAGCTGTATGTATCATAGTGAAGCATTTAACATCTAAAGAAAGGAACATGGTAGCTAACACATCACATCTATTGCATGATGTCGAGTATCATAAGGTCATAATCATATATTCCACCACATTATTCATTCAGAGTTTTTAGCTGTTCCAAGTTCCAGCTTAGTTGCATCTTTTTTGTGCCCTGCTGTACTTCAGTGGCTTTTCATCCAAATACAAGAATAAAGTGCTGTGAGTACGCACCTTCTTTTTGTCATCTACCATTCCAATGCGAAGATCCAATCTCCTGTCCTATACTGATGCATTGATGGAAGACCACACACATGCACTGCTAAAATAAAAGCTCCATGGAAAAGGATCTTTCATCCTGTCACCACTTTTATGCTGGCCAGTTGAATAGATGCTTCTTGTGAATATTGTGGAAAGATACTGTTTAGTTGTTTCTGGAAGGTTGCTCCCAACAAAATTTGAGTCAAAGAAACTAATGATCCTTTTTGTTTGTTAGCAACAAAAGACATGAATCTGGCACTAAATGCCAGGGGGCTGCTTCAAACCAATGATCCTTAAAAGGATGCCTCAATTGAAGAGACTAAAGTATGGTTTGCAAGTCTTGAAATCAAACATCCAAACTTACTCCCTTTGTCAGGGATGGAAGCCTATGTTAAGAAAGGATAGATGGAGCTACAGAAAAAATTGTACATGTGCACCATATGTATGAAGATCATCTTTTACGGAATTGTTGATATGTGAAATCCACATGGAGACAATCATAGGAAAAGCTCTCTCCAGGTATCTTCCTTGAGTTGATAGAGAAATATTTCAATATAGGCAACTTCACATTGTCTGCAGAACTTTGGTCACCTTGTTGCTTCCTGGATGTGCCTTTTGCTTGGTGTATCCAAATCCAAATTTAAGCTGAGAAAACCAAACAGTTCCCACAAAAGAATGGCTAATGACTATTGACTCACGGTTGTGCTTACTAATCAATCTTGAGGAGAATGTTCATTCTACTGGAATAATGCTCAAGAAATCAAATGAGATGAAAAAAAAACTAATGAGACAGAACTTCCCATCTAACCTTAACTTTGGCAATGAATCCACAGAATTAAGAATCAACAGTTGACGAAAGAGCTCTCAAAGTAAATGTATATGCCAAATAGCATCCTACACTTCACCAGAAGAGTCTCTTCTCTTGGAGAACCGAGAAGCGCACCTAGATACGAGCTCAGAACTTTGGGCAAAAAAGTAGAGACATAAGATGCACAGTCCTGTTGCACAAAGACAAATTACTAGTTCAAATATCAGATATTCAACTGGTAGCAAAGTTACAACTCAGATGATTCATGGTGTAGTTGTTCGGGGCAGAGCAGGAGAAAGAAACTAATGGTGAAGTAGATGGGTTAAGTTTTAAGTTTAGGATTTCGATAAATACAATAAGATGGAAAAGTAAGCAATAGAAGAAGTGGGATGAGAAGCCCCAGTGTTCTTTACCAGCATATGCAATCGTCGCACCTGAAGCTACACGTCCCAAAGCTGACAAGAGGTACAGTGTAAAAACCACCTGCAAAATTAATGATTTGCAACGTACTTAAGATTGCAGGGAACGATAAAGAAACGATGAATGGAAAAAAAAAAAAAAAAATCCATGCAAGTTCTCAAAAAGTCGGTTGCTTTATTGTTCTGCCTAAATTTCTTTGCGTAAGAGCTCAACAAAAGGTTACACTACAGAAATTATTGTTTCTTTATCCTATCTTTTAAAACAAAACAATTTTGACCTCTAGATCCCGTCGATTACTCCAGAAATAATCATTCCTAACTAGTTATCTTAGAAAGCCTAAGCAGCCCTTATAAGATCCCAACAAGCAGGTCCCATAACAAACAATTTGTGCTGCTATCCAGAAACTCCCTAAAATCGTTTGACTATATTTCCAAGATAAAATTCTCATGCGGACATCGGTTGCATTCAGCTATTTCAGAGTCCCTCAGCAGCCCGTATCAGATTGTTTCTCTTCTCGTTTCCTTTCCGAGAAAATCATCATGAACTACTAGAAAATTCCAGCAAGCATTAGTTTCGATCTTAAACCCCTAAAAGTCTACTTTCTCGTGAAGTCATCCACCCTTTTTTATGTGCACATTTCATTTCCTCATTGGTCTGTGGTGGATACTATACAAAAATCTGAAAAAAATAAATAAAGGATCTGTTAACAGGAAAATCACAATTTAACAAAATATATCCAACAGAGTTAAACTAATTTTCCACAATCTTGTGTTACATCAAATAGCAAAAAGACAATAAAACACTTCTTTGTTTAGACTTCTCATCAACATCAAATCGTTGATTGATAGAGAAGAACTGATTTACTGTTTAAACCGTTCCAGTCTCAGTTAAAAGTAATTTAACTGAAATAAAGTACGGTACAGAACCTGTTCTTAGAGAATCTTAGAGAAGTCTTCTCTCAAAGGTATATGTTCAATACAAGCTTGGAAAACATGTCAAACATCTTCAAACAACAACCTAACCGGTCTTGACCTAAGAGAAAAGAGAGGCAGCATATCTTTTATCCTGAGCGGAGAGATTATAAATCTACAAAAAGGAAAACTAGTCGTCTAAGTGAATGCAACAAAAGGTGAGAGGTGATATGGTAATATTTTAGAGACAAATGGTAAAAACCTTTCAATGATAGAATAGTAAAACATCCAAAATTTTAAGCAGAGTGACACGATAGAGACATTATAAGTAGCTGCTGAAATACAAAGTCATGTGGTTTTAAGACAAGTACCTTAACAAACAGTCGCTTATCATGCCCTGTTGCAGCAACCCTTAACACAGACTCCGCTGCTCCGACTGTATTAGCCAAGCAAGCAACAATGGTGTTAGCTGTATCTTGAGATATCTGCCATTCAAGAGGATCCACAGGCACCCTAAGAAGATTCATACAACATATGAATGCATTATCATAAAGAACAACTCTTACCATATACAACAACAACAACAACAACAAAACCGTAAGTCCTAACTATTTTAGGTCAATAAGGAATGCAACTCTTGCTATATAGATGAGAAAAAAGATACATTCAGTATTAAGTTATACATGAGAAAACAAAAGCGAAGGAAAAATAACATTGGCATAATAATTCGAGCCACCATTCTTACCTAATAAAGATATTTAAGCATAGTAAGCAATTTCTTTTTGAATCAAAGCTACACCAACTATAAATTATTTTAATGCCAATCATGCATTCGATGATGCTCGTTTTGGTTGTCCAGCCATGAGTTCCTTCAATGCCAAACCAAATATTCTTTCTCTAGGCTTAGATGGATGGTGAACAACGGCACACTGACTAAAAAGCTTAATTTTGCGTAACCATAATCAAAACCCTTATCTCATTGTGGCTCTTCGAGTTCATACCAAATCGTTCTTAGTCGGACGAACTAAAGCTGCTACGGCCACTTACAATCACTATTAATCAACACAAATATTCCCCCACCACAAGAACACCTAACACCCGATTGGATGCTTCCATCGACAAAATCTAAACTTAAAGTGGAACTAGCAAGAACTAGTTTGCAATCACCTAACTACAAACAAAACGATTCAAACGAAGTTAAACGTGACCGGCAGAATCGGAGTCAACAACAAGGCAACAACGATTTAGCAGGTGAGAGAGAGTACGAGATGTTCATCTGGCGGAAGAGCATGCCGAGGATGGCGAGGGAGCAGAGGAGGACGATGAGGACGTCGGAGACGAGGGAGAGAAGGCTCGACCCCCGGTACGCGCAGTGGTAGTACACCAGGGTCCCGCAAACGAGCAACACCGCCGGCCGCCCCACCTCCACCCTCCCCTCCTCCGCCGATGCCAACGTCTCCTCCGTCGCCGCCCTCCGTTCTCCCTCCGCCATCCAACAGCAAACCAACCCTAACCCTTTCTCTCTCTAGACGAGTCGTCGATTAATTGTTTGGGTTTTCCCGTTTTATTTTCCTGTATAAATCCGGGACCGGCGTTGGGCAGACCTCGGCGTGGACAACCCTCCAAGGAGACGACATGGACCCATTTGCCTACCCGCCTCGCCAGCTTCTGGAGGCCCACTTGCGGGACCGACTCTCGCGTCCACTCGTTTTCTAAGTCAGTTTCGATGTAGTGAGCACGGTCGCTTGTCGAAAATATTCGTAAATGAAATGGATAAAAGGTTTGACCTTTTTTTTTTTTTTGGCGCCTTCTTCTGGAAGGTATTCGTATTTTTATTTTTCTCAAGATTGTGTTTTATATTTTTTTTATAATATTATAAATATCCCGTATCGTTGGTCATCGCTTGTTATCTCGATGTTCCTTTTGCATCGACTACCAACCTCTATATTGTCATTTTCGATTTCATGATATGATCATAGAATACTATCTTAAACATTCTCATCTCGTCTCTACCTTCTATTTTCAAAGTCGATTTTTTGCTACGACCCGACGAGAAAAAAAGAAGACAGAGGTTACCTTCTACTTTCAAAGTTGAATTTTTGCTACGACTCGACGAGAAAAAAAGAAGACAAAGGTCGAGTGAAAGCACTGATGATAATAAAAGTCTTATAATGGAGATAATAAGATCTCAGATGTAAGATAAAAACAATGAACAACGAAGATTGATGAAGAAGACATTATATTAGGAAAAAATATATTATTATTCATAACTCTCTTATTACTATTTACGATCCTATTTTATTATTTTTAATATTTATAAATAAACATAAATATCATTTTCCTTTTCTTCTTCTTCCTCCTCTTCTTCCTCCTCATTTAGTGAATGACAAAAAAGAGAATAAAATTGATAATATAATATTAATATTATTTTAAAATTTTTGTTATTATATTCTTAAAAAGGGTTATCAATAGCAACGTGGTTGTCAATAATAAAATGAGAACTATAGATAATAAGCTTGGGGAAAATGAAAACAAAGATACCTTTAGAAAAATAAAAATGAAAAAAGGGAGCTTTTTTTTGTTGTTGTTGTGAAAATCATCTTTTAAAAATTTAAGTTTTAAATTAAAATTATGAAAAATCTAGTATATATTAACTATAATAAGTTTAACTTGGACTCATCATTCTATCATTTCTATTCAAGTGGAGAAATTTTGATTTGAATTGATAATCAAACTCAAACTGTGATTTTTGTCCACTGTGTCACTCCCTTTATTAGAATTAATAAAGCAAACTGTGTTTGGAATGGTGATCCCAACGGTTATTATGCCCTCTTGAAAATTTTCTCTCTTGACATCAACATTTTGTACATCTTAATATAATATATATTAATCTAAAAAAAGGACATCCTTGCAGTTGTTATCTATGTACAATTGTATGTGTCAACAAAAAAAGAAAAAAAGAAATTCAAAAAAGGCTTTGGAGACTCTCAAATAAATTATAATTATATACATTGGGTGGATTTCTAAAAAAATTTGAACTTTGATAATTTCTCATATAACACCTCAACTTTGATAAATTTTTGTAGAGTAATATTTTTTTTAAAATGATCATTATACTCTTATCGTCTATCACCCTTCGCGCGATCTTGATTATGCCATCGCACCATCAATCGCCCCCCTCTCGTCTTTAATAGTTGCTCGTCACCTATGACGAAGGTGCGACCACGTACTATATGACAACTAATAATAGAGGTCTCACTCTCCTCGAACCTTAGTAAGTATCATTTGTCCGTTTATCTTATTGGATTTACTGTCTATAACTCTCTTATATAATGAAGGAAGGTGTACAGAGGTTTG